TCTCTCTCTCTCTCTCTCTCTGTACGAGTGCTTCTGTACTCATTGTGGCAGAATAGTAGGACACCTGGGAACTCCTGGACGGATTGTATTTCTTCATCCGTCAAAGCACCAACTGTGCAAGCTTTCGTCCCTGGAGCCCTAACCTACGTGACGATCGGTGTGAAACTCGCAAGGGACTGGGCGGCGATGTATCAACTTCTACGACCCTGGCCTGCCTCCCAACAAGGCTCGTGAGGAACACTGAAGCTCCACTTTTGCCTTACACCCCCAGGCCAGGCGCCTTCGATCCGCCCAGTTCCACCCGAGACGCCTGTACACGTTGCGAAACTCGGTAAGTGTCTCAAACCTCGTGAAAACACACATCTGTAAAGATCAAAGGTGCTCCTGGCATTTAGGCCACCCTGTGCAAGCTGAACATATGTCATCTATGTTGTCCGGTGCATAAGCACGGAAACAAATTCCGAATCTTCAAAACAATTCGCCATGCATCTTGAAAACGCTCTAAGCGATTGCAAAGTTGCAAAGCGATCTGAGATGTTCAGACAATGACCTGCAGCAGCTATAAGGAGGGAAGCAAAGCGCGACAACGGTGAGCCTCGATGGCCTCTCAGCACGTATAGCTTGACCCAGATGGATGGATGGCATCTCGAACAACTCTGTGGAGTTATACCAGTGTAGAGTGAACTTACTACAGCATCCCTGGTCCCAAGACCACCCCATGCGTCCAAAACGCGTACCTTACGTGCTGTGGCGGCGGAGCGATCAGCATCCTAGAACATGCACGCTGAAACGCATGGCGGCAAAGCAATTTGTGGAGGAAAGGCGGAAGCGTATAGGACTGTGGCGGGAGCATAATCGCCAACTTTGGAGAATATCAGGACTTTCGGGACGATTGGAAGGCCCTGGAAGGCCAGTACGAGAACGGGACTGGCGGGAGTATGGCCCAAAAGTGCCACAGCGGGAGCCACAGAAGCGCCACAGGCGCTTGCCACAGGCGCTTCGCGAGCAACTGACAAAAGAAGAACACCGTCGCGTCTTAGTTTGAGCATCGCATCTTGGCAAGCCCCCAAAGCCACGGAATCTCCTGGTCTGCCAAATCCCGACCTCCAACCAACAAACCTTTGCCTGCTCCACGTCACCCCGGCACAAAGGGCAGGTTCGAGCCACCTCTCAGGGCCAGGGAAGCTGACAACGACCAGCCACGGAAGGGGCCAAAGTCACTGCAAGACTTGCAAGGCCTTGGCAGCATGTCCGTATTATGTTATGATGAGATGCAGCCTGCCTGAAACCAGCCGGACAAACAGCTTCTGTGAAAGACGTGGTTGCAGGGCATCTTGACAATCTCCTTCTCAGGCACAGGAGTCAGGAGTCTGGGTAGGCAAGAATTTGGACAGAACTGAATGTGGCATGTAGCAAGTAGCAAGCATCATTCAAGGAATCATGCAAATAGAATTACTGTTGCTATCGATTCCTGTAGTTGGTCCTCATCTGTCATAACTTTTCGTGCATCGCCCTTCAGAGTCTATGCACATCGACTCATGCCCAGATCTGCCACCCGCACGAGACAGCCGCGGCCAGCAAGATCACACACAAGAATCCCTTCGCACCTTCTGCGCTGTGAAGGTTTCCAAGCAGACCGCGCAGGACGCAGGAAACTCTCCCCGGCCGTCCTCGCAAAACCTGCAAAGTGCGAGGGAGAAGGAGAAGCCATGCTAAGCGACTAGAACTAAAGTCGAAAGCCTTCTGCTGTGTGGCCCCCGGCCTCCCAGTGTCAAATTCCAAGACCGGAAGGCTTTCTACGGCGCCCTGCAGGTGGCAGGCATCCGCCCTCGTCCGTCCCTATAGCCAATAGACCTGTGCTGATGGCAAATCTTCAGGTTCCGTAGGACCTCCGGCGCGGCGCCAGGCATGCGTGGCAGCCGGAGTCGGCCGCGGCGGATGAGGCAGAGAACCACCTGGGGTCGATCGGTTCAGGACACGAGCGCCCTCCTCTATCCTCGTGATCATAGCTGTGAGATGACTTGTACAGTGTAGTCTGTGTACCTTGCAAGCCCTACTTGTGTGCATCTGACAGGCCCCCAGCCACCTTGCCCCTCACCGGCCATGTGTACTAACTCCGGTACCACCACTAAACAGCTATTATCATACGGTTTTCCATGGGGAGGGGAGAGGGGTCACACAGCCCAGCCCCAAAAGCATAAGATTTTAGTGAATTTGAAGGGCCTTATGTGCTACACCTGCCAGTACACTACGTCAGCGCTTCTGGGCGAGTGCTATTTTCTCTGAGGCTTAAGGGCCTCTGTTGAGGCGGTATGCTTTGACATCGAGTGCGAATTTTGTTCATCAAGAACGCCTGATGAGTGCTTGCGTTGTCGAGCACAGTGCCCGCCGGAGAGTCCTGTCGAGTGCTAGTGTTGTGCTTCGAGTTCCGCCTGTTGAATGTGATTTCCGGTTTCGGTGTTCGTGTAACCGTCGTCACCGCTTGAAGCTGACAAAAAAATCAATCGGCCCGCCCAAGAACTCCCCTGTAAACCTCAATAAGGACCCCTGTAAGCCCGCCCAAGACTCTCCCCGATAAGCCTCAATAGGCACTCCTTTCTACCTCAATATGCCCGGCTAGAAACCCCCTGAAGCCGCAATAGACACCAGCTAAGCCTCAATAGGCTCACGGGCGGCGCTGTCTAGCCCTCGCAAAGCCACACCACCACTACCGCTACAACTACACATGCAACTACTTCTACCACCACCACCAGCACCACCACCACCACCACCACCACCACCGCCACTACTCCTCCCACTATACTACTACTACTACTACTACTACTACTCCTACTCCTACTCCTACTCCTCCTCCTCCTCCTCCTCCTCCTCCTCCTCCTGGTGCTGCTGCTGCTGCTGCTGCTGCTGCGGCTGCTGGTAGCCCAACTACCACTACCGCCACCACCACCATCACAGGACGACGACGACCACGACGACCTGACTACTACTATAATACTAACACGGACTACGTAATGCATTTGTTGCAACCATCACTGTTCGTGATTAAACATGATCACGAGTATCACTACATGTATCTTAGCTGCTGCTCTTGTTAGTCAAGTGCCACGTTTGGACTGCTATTGCTCTGGAACGGCTTTGGAACTCCAGCTGACGGACCGGAGAAGGTTGTGGAGTTTGCAGAGTTCAAGGATTTGCAGGGTTGGGCTAACTTGGGACGGAGACTAATGAAAAATTGCTGCATTTGGTCGTATCAGCCCCACCGTAGCATCTGAAATCCAAAAACTCGAGCGTTTCCCCAACACCAACTTTCACTGGACCCAACACCCCAAAAACCCACCTGCGTGCTGATCGGCTGGAGGCGGATGGCTTTGGTAAAGCAGCCAATTGCAGCCTGCTGGAACATCTGCGGGCTGGATTCAGACCCGGTTTAGGGTTTAGGGTTCAGGGTTATTCAGGGTTTAGGGATTAGGGGCCTCCAGCGATTAGAGTTTAGGGCTTTGGGCCGGAACCAACATTAAACATCCACCTTCGACTACTCAGACTTCAACCGTCAACCTGAGGCACTAACTCTGCACATGCCCGGACAGACCTCGAACTTCAGATCCTGGAAGCGCAGGACGCCAGCAGCTACCTCAATCGAACGACAAGCTTTCAGTAGGGTTTAAAGTTTAGGGTTTAGGGATAGTCCCCTTTCGATTCTTCAAGGGCCCCTTGTGGCGGCATTCTAGTTCCTCAGCTCAGCTTAAAGTTGATCCGAAAGTCTCGACCTGCAAGCCGAGGCTACCCTAGTTTTTGCTAGTATTCTGGTGGCTGAACTGCTGTTATGATGCATTATTTTCTGTTAGGCTATTACTCGTATTCAAGTATTACTTTAATAGGTTAACAGCTTAATAAATTAATAACTCAATAGTATTATGGTTATGCTTAGCATACCAAGTCACAAGCCAAGGAGCAAAGGCTCTTGACTCTACAGCTCAAGCGCGATCTCCATCAACCCCAATTGCTAAGTCGTCAGCCCCGAACAGGAAACCCCAAAACCCCCCAAACCCGCAACAACCGGTAGACTTTTACTCTAATTAACTCTAAGCCTCAAAAACCCAAGCCCCACGGCCCAACCTCAGACGAAACAAAAAAACTATAAACCCTAAACGCTAAACCCTAAGCCCTAAGCCCTAAACCCTTTCTCCCCTAAGCCCTACCTATGCCTCCGAGCTGCATGCATCGTGAAGAGCGTGCCCTCATCCGCGGGATCCTCGACGTTTCAATGCACGGTGCTTTTCGAGCCCTGGGGTTCATTTGGATAGTTCTCTAGGTCCCTAGGTTAGGGTCCCTTTTAGGGCCCTTTTAAAGGGACCTATAAGGGTTTCTATAGGGCTTCTATAAGGGATCTATATGGGTAGTTCTCTAAGTTAGTGTCCCATTTAGGATCCTTGTAAAATAACGGCGCCGTGCTATTTTGATGACCTAAAAAGGGGAACCTGGTTTAGAGAACTACCCACATATTGTTGGGGCCGTAACCGTTTCAACAGGGCTTTTGGTGTATACTAAATGGTAAGCGTATGAGGTACTAGAAGAAGATGCTGTTGCTATTATTCAGACATGTATTTTCTCTGCTGGTAAGGCACGAATGGAACCGGTTTGCAATTGGAACACGGCCCGAGTTCCACTCTACAGCGACTACGTTGCAGTTATGAAGGAAGTGCTGGAACGAAGGAGCCCCCCCTACAACATACGGTTGATGAAATAAATCCCGCATTACCCATAATAAGGAATATACCATAATTCCACTAGTTTAGGGTCCTTAAGGTCCTTCAGGATTTATATCATCAACCCTAAACCCTAGACCCTAAAATCCCTAAAACCCTAAACCCCAAACCCTAAACCCTGTGGTAGTATAGGTAAATATTTAAGGCACCTACACTAACCTCACCCATCGTAGAGCGGAAGCTAGGACGGCTGAGGCCCGGACGATCAGCAGGGCCTGCCGGCAGTCCGCCACAGCCTCCCAGCTCGCAGGGACTCGCCCAACCCCTGGGACCTCTTAAGGTTTAGGGTTTAGGGTCTACTCGTACTATGTGTGTTGTTGCAACGATGATTGGTTGCATGGTGATTCTCTTGCTACTAATGTAGAGGCTTTAATGATTAGAATAGTGAATAGGGTTTTGGGGGGTCCTAATCATGTTTATAGTATTAAAAAATACCCCCAAACCCTGTTCTAATCGTAGAGCCTTGCGCTAGGATCTCCAAGGATGTGTCGAGAAAGCCTCCTCCCATCTGCAAAGATCGCAGAGCGCCGTGACCCGCAGCTGGAAGAGCATCGCAGGTACCTGCCCGCGGCCCCTAAACCGAGAAACCCTAAAGCTGGGAGGGGGTCTCAACCCTAAACCCCTAAACCCCTAAACCCCTAAACCCTGAACCCCTAAACCCTAAAACCACTAAACCCTAAACCCTAAAACCCGAAGCCCTAAAAGCCCTAAGCCCTAAAACACCCCTAAGCCCTAAGCTGCGGGGGAGTCCTTGCCCAGGATTTTGGTTTTTCAGGGCTCCTCCGGATGAGGATCCACGGCGAAAGCACAAGGCCTCGGGAGTCTGAGCTCTGTGGGCCAAGGGCTCAGGGTTACTACCAGGGTTACACCGAGGAGTGCGATAACGGGCTTAGGGTTTAGGGTTTAGGGCGGTTTGGGGTCTGGGGTTTAGGCTACTAAAGGGGCTACTCTGAGGGTTCGAAAAAAAATGGGGTTACTTGTACTACAAAAGAAGGTTTCCTTTTCGTGTTCCTACAAAAAGGAAGAGCAACCCTCTGAAGAAGAAGCATTAAGCACTTCTTTCGGTTAGATATTTTATACTCCGAGGCAATACCAAAAAAAAAAAGCAATCCCCCCAAAAAAAAGAAAAGCAAGTATGCCGCTGGACATCCTACGTAGCTTAAGGCTTCGGGGTTCAGGGCTTTAGGGATTTGGGGCTCCGGGGATGCCGGGCCTGGGGGTTTCCCGGGGGGCGACTTGCGGACTTCAGTTTGAAGGGTTTTCTCTAGGGGTTTAGGGGTTTGAAGGGTTTTTTTAGGGGTTTAGGGTCTCGGGTTTAAGGTTTAAAGTAGTTTACGGGATAAAAGCAAGCTAAACTCTAAATCCTAAAACCCGAAAACGCATAGACTAGACCCATGAACCTATGATCTACCCTAAATCCTGAACCCAAACGCCCTGCATCCTCAGATCCGAGATAAACCCTTCTAGAATCCTTAGCGGAACTCTGAAAACCCTAAACCCTAAACCATGGAAACCCTAAACCCTAGAATCCCTAGAAACCCTCCAAGGGCACCGGCGCAGCTCTCTGCTGCGGTTCCCGGGCCACGAGCTGGATGAACGTGCCTGGGCTCAGTCTTCGGGTCCGTAGCCCGGAAACTCAGCATGTCGGGGGTGCGTTAGAATACACTTACTTACGAATAGCTTAGGGTTTAGGGTTTAGGGTTTAGGGTTTAGGGCTTGGGGTTTAGGGTTTAGGGTTTAGGGTTTCGGGTTTAGGGAAAAAGGGGGCTCATCATCAGTATCATTGCTATTGTTCTTCCGAATGTGCATTCACGTTCGTCCTCCTTCTCCTACGACGACGACGGCAACGGCTAGCAATAATCATAATCATAATTCTGGTTGATGACTGACTATTACCTATACACTATTTTGACCGCTATATTTGCAATAATCATAAGCATCCGTATTGTTGATGACTAAGTATGAACTATAAACTATTCAGTTATCCGGGCCTCTACAGTTGCCCCTATGATCATCATTCATTATTGTTGATGACTCATTTTCTACCTACTTGGAGGATCATGGGACTCTAAGCAGGGGTATAAGCAAGGTAGCGATGGCTATATCTACTTCTAATCCTAATTAGGGTACCTCTAACTAAGTCC